CAGCAAGGCCACGAGGCGCGGACTGCCTGCACTTACACTGCTCCTGGCTACTTCCCTGYGGATCTGCTTCCAGCACCTCGGTGGTGTTTAGTGTGAGGCCTCCTCCTAGCTCAGCCCGCCGTTCCAAACGGGCTCTGCGTGACCTTCTTAAAGCCCAGCCTATGCAGGGAGCAGCYGGAGGCAGCTGCTGGGCTTTGCTAGGGATCACAGACACCCCAGGAATCCCATGTAGTTTTGTAGGGAAAACCCAGCGCTCCTTTAGCTGCATTTTGCGAACTTCAATTTTATGGCTAATGAGTCCCTTTGCTGAGGGGTTCTTTGAGAGTTCAGGAAGTATCTCCATGCTTGGCTCACTTTCCATGTGCAACCGCAGCTGTCTTGTCTTTTCCCTCACTAATATTTTCTTGGATGCAGGGAAAAAATACCCCTCTAGGTAAGTCCACCATAGTCCCACATGGACTAAAGGAAGCTGGAAGTAACAAGCTAGAGCTATAACGATCACGAAAGGGAAGACAGTGCTGGGATAGGAGGCGATCACAGATGTCAGTGTCCAAGAAAACACCCCCAGGAGAAGGCTAGACTCCAGAGAGGGTGGTCACTATCACTGTGTGACACTGCAAGCAGTTCTGCCTTTCCCCGTGCCCAGGATATTAATTGTTTCAGACTCCAAGATATATTCTCTACATCAAGCAGAATGTGCCCTTGCAGCTGAACCTTCACTTTATGCAGCCATCCCTGCCGGGAGGGGGAAGAGGCAGTTTGCAGTAACTGGCACCATGGTGTGGTATATGGAATAAGGAATCCTGTGGCTTGTAGGCATGCATGGCTTCTCCCTTTTTATCCGGGATTTTTAGTTCTTAACATTTGCCATAAACAAGGTCAGTTTCTAAGGAAGAAAAATATACCCTGACAGGAGTTGTACATTGTGGGGCGGTGTCTGTCCAGTCCGTCTGAGCACTTGTGTGTCTGGAAAACTGCTATTTATGTACCTTGCACAGCGGCTTTTTCCACTTTCAAGGTGGGGACTCTGAAGGCCTAATCTAGGTCGCAAGAAAAACGCCGGGATAGACTGACTCATCCTCCTGCTATAAACAGCTAGAGTACATATGCTCTTCCTCGGCACTTGCTTCTACCTCTTTTTATCCTGTGCCTTAAATCCACTTGTTTTTGTGTCGTGGAGGTGAAGCCAAGACCTGCTATACCCTCCAGCTCTTCCCAGCGTTTTAAGCCTAGTCTTTTAGCTTTTGATGTTGTATTGTTGATGCTGTCCTCCTGTAAAATCCATGAATCCCAGAGAAGCAAACATCTAGGAAATAAGCAGCAGGCCTGGAGGCTTGAAGATGTTAGAGACCACTTGCCTGTCCCGTGCAGCTGGCCGCAGAGCAGAGACCCAGGTCACACGTGTAGGAGCGCATCATGTTAGTGCTTTCCACGGTGAATGTTTTGAAACCTGTTTTTCTCTCCTAGAAAGGCTGAAATTCAGGCAAGCCCCAGAGGGTGTAGTGCCAGCCATAGAGCTTATGGAACCAGAGGGAAGCGTGGTAGTTTGGGGATCAAACAGCAAGTCATGGTGGTGAAGACCTTGGATGTGTAGGCAGCCTCACGGAGACCTTGGGGGGAGCTGGATCTGGTAGTGACGCTAACAAGGGTTAGGGATTCATGGGATTCATGCCAAGTTGAGGGCACAGGGAGCTGGTTCTTTTTAGTTCTCGGAGCTCTGCTTGGGACCCCTGGCCAGGGGAAGAGCTCTTGGGTAAGGACAGCCTTTGGCAGAGAAGCCGCGTGGTGGCCTGACAGCCTGGGGAGATCCTCTGCTTTGGTCGTAGGAGCAGGTTGGAGCGGAGCTTCATCCCCAGCACTGCAGCGGGCTGGAAATAAAGCTGTTCTGCTGGAGCCAGCGCTCGGCGGCACCGGGAAGCGACGCCGGCTGCGGGACCATTGCACTGCTTGCAGCGGGGATGCCGTGACACGAGTTCTTAGCCATTGAGCAACTGCATTTGGTGCAGTTTCCTCCAGGCCAGCGCGCTCGCCCTGCTCCCCTGGTTTTGCTTTATGGTGTGTTTACCTTCRGAAGCTGCTAAGGCTGTTCTGAGCCAGGGGATTTGCTGGGGCTACTGTAGCTGGGGCTTACGGGTAGGTAGTTCCTGCATCAACACTGGCTTTCACTGACTTCCCTAAAACTGCAGAGATTATTGAGGTCACCAGGCAGGTCCAACAGCAACAAGAGAAGCTTCCGGCRTCGTCTGGATTATAATTTGGGATTTTGCTGGGAAGATGCTGCCTTGCCTGATGCACAGACTTACACCCTGGTGCTTTGGGCAGGCATTGGAAAAGGACAAGCTTGGATTGAGAGRGTCCTTAGCTGTGGAACATAGCAAAGAACGGAGGAAAATACCCATTTCTTTCTGCAAAGCCTCTTGCCCACGGCTTGTTTTGGATGTACGTGGGGGATGTACGTGTAGCTGCAGGATTGTATAGAAGATCATTTGTGATCCATCTGGGGATAAAAAGCACTAGAAAGACTTCAGCAGTGGTGGATGAACCTCACCTTTCACAGAAAGTCCAAGAACAGCTTATTCTTAGCTCAGAAGCTTATTCCTCCCCATTGAAATATTTCATCCAGCTTCTCCTCTGAACCTCTGTGAAAGAGCCAAGTCTGTCCTTCCAGCGTGGCTGCTTTAACGATTTGCTTCCGCACAGAACCCAGACATAAATTCCACTCCTTCGCTTTACCTTTTTTGATATTTATTCCTTTATCTGCAGCTTCCCCGCTGCGCCGCAGCTGCTATCTGCATGGAAGCGACGTCTGCCTGTTGCGCCGGGCGGTGATTCACTGCTCCCACGTCCTGTTTACGCTTTGCTGCAGAGCTGGGACCTTCCCGGCGCTGCATTGCGCCCTCTCCAAAGGAACCGTCTGCTCGTTCAGTCCGTGCATCGCTTGCCAAGAGCTGCAGAGCTGCTCGCCGTGCAAGGCACATATAGATCAGGGCAGCGTCTGACCTGGTCAGGCCGCTGGTGAGGAGAGGGAGACAAAAGCAAAGCGAAGTAAACAAAACAGAACTGCTCTTGGAGCGCCAGCAGCAAAAGTCGTTAGAGATAGCAATATGGTTTGCTATTTTTAATTCACAAACTTTCCTTTTTCTTTGGAACGCATGGAAAGAGCAAGCTTCTGGACACTGAAAAGAGAAACTGAACTTCTGCTTAGACATAAATAATCTTATTAATCAGCAATGCGGGGAAAGGAGGCAGAAAACAATGTGACAACTGAGCTGAAATTCGGTCAAGTCCCTCTTTGTTTGAGAGGTTTTGCCTGCTTTTGYAGCGAGCAGTCTCCAAAACAGAATCCAAAATAAGTTCAGTGTTATTAAAATAATTCATCTTTTAAACCTCAGCAGAATTTGTTTGGATTGCTAATTTCCTCAAGGCCTCAGGCCCCTCTATATGTTGAAGCAGATAAAATTCATGGGTTAGCACAGGAGGTTTCCGATTGCACAGTCTCTCAGGAGTGGCAAATCACTTTACAAGCCTGCCTAATGGTCACAGCGCATAGAAATGATTATTGGTGATTACACCGTAAAAACTAAGTGATCAAAGCAGACACTGCACAGTAATGTGAGTGCTGAAAGAACGGGAAAACGGATAGGAGAGTCAGGAGGTGCGGGTTCTCCAGCAGCTTGGGTATTTCTTTTCAGTTTGTCCCAGGACCAGGTCACATTGGCGGCGAGCAAAATCGCCTTTCTTTCAGCAAACATCGTTACAGAGAGTTCCCCGCAATTACCCGGCCGGGGAGCCATACGTGCCTTTTGTCCCRAGCTTCTCCAGCTTTCTGGGAGCCTTAGGACAATGGAAATCTGCTCATTTTTAACCCCYGCTTCCCTTATCCTTCAGCCTGAGCTCCCAGGTTGGTTCCCTTGGTTCGTTATGGCCTGCTTGCCCTGAGCTGCTAAATAATGCTAAATAATRACATTTCTGTGCTGGAGGCCTCCTGCAGTTCCAGCACTGGTTTTTCCTCACTCGCTACCCTTTAGTAGAGTGGTTTTTTTGCAAATAAATGCCTGGCTGTGGCACATTGAGATGAAGGTTCCTGTTYGCTGGGCTTGTTCTTTTGCAGCTGTTTTTCCTGACCCAGAGCTCTGCTGCATTCATRCCCTGAAGCACCTGGGCTGGAAGGTGGCTGCTCTTCAGGCCAGGCATCAGGCATGGAAAATCTTTATTTTATTTATATATATATATATATTTTTTTGCAGATATGGCATCTGCTTTTTAGCATAGATTTATTTCTACCAGATTGTATGGTTTGCTGCATGATTTGAGAGAWATTGAACATAGGCCCGAGATCACCAGCTAAAGCCTCTTAGTCCGCAGTATGGTTCAAAACTTGGAAATTTGGGGGCAGAAGGAGCTTTGTGCTTTGTGCAGAGAGGTTTTCCTTRCAAATTTAGCCTGCGATTTGGGAGAATTGCTGCATACCTGCATAGGGACATGTGCAGAGTCCCCCTCTTTGCCCTCCTGGATGACCCAAGATGTATCCACTAAGGCAAAAGCTTTGCAACCTCTCCAATAACCAGTCTCTTGTTGGGAACCTGACGTCCCTGTGACTCAGATCTGTTGGCAGAGGCATCTCAAGGGGTCTGTGAAAACAGCTAAAAACAACAACCTTTTATGTGCTCTGCAGCAATCTACAGATGTGAGATTTCTAAAAGCAACGGCCTCTTTGCTGGAAACCTTCTTGTTTGGACAAATGCAAAAAGATTGAGAGCAATTGTGTGTAGATAACAGAGCAAGTGCACCTGTGACTTATTAAAGGCATTTTCTGGGTAAACCCAACTCCAGGCACCTGTGTATGTGTCTGATCATAGGATGGGACACATCTTGAAAGCAACTGCTCAGGGAAAAACCCTCCACGACTTAATAGAAATCACCTGTTTCCAATTGTTTCTTAATGTCCTTTATTTTATTTTCACCTCTGAGGAGGAGCYATGGCCCAGAAGCAGCATGTTAACACATGAGCTGCTTCTAATCCTTCTTAGCAGGCAGGCTTGTTCTTCTGCTAAAAATATGAAGGATTTTATTCTGTTTATGTGAAGAAAAGATTTGTAGAGAGACATGTGCTTTTAGCTAAGAGAAGTTCAGGATTTTTATTTTTTACACTGCATCCTTTTGAAAAGAAAGGTGGATTTGCAGCAGCAGAGAAGCTCACCTGCTGGACAGTGAGCACCTCCAAAGCTCCCCTATGGAGGTAAAGGGATTTGGAAATACAAGGTAAGCAGATGAAGCTCTTTCTCTCTTAATTAGTGGCATTATATGAATCTACAGAAGATAAGTACCTTTCTTCAGGTAWCTTTTGTGCTAAGTGGCTGTAGCCTGTGTGCGTTGGCCCTAATCTCAGTGCAAGGATGACTGAAACGGGGGCAAGGGAGGACTTGGCTGTTGGACCTTCTCCTGCTGATGTGTGGGCTGGGACTCCTTGCATTGAAGCTCTGCCCAATGCCTGGTCTGGGCTCTAATGGAAATGAGTTAATGGGCGCAAGCTCTTCACAGTGTCCAGTTTTCTGCACGCTCCACTACTCTTTTTAAATAACCACAGTCATCTTTTCTTCTTCTTTTTTTATTTTATGGAATGTACTTTGCAAAATGCAATGCAGAAAAAGGTTGTAATTCATGAAAGTGCAAGGTAGCAGCCGAGGAGGGTGGGAAAAACCTTCCGAAGCTTTTGCTGTGGCTCTGGGAACTCCCAGGGCTTTGCAAGAAGGGTAAAAACAAGGAGAGGTGGATGGAGCATTGCGCTTGGTGCTGTGTATGCGGGACGTCTCCAACCCGCTGGGTGGTGGTGGGCAATAGAAACRGCTGGAAAGGTCAGGGAATGGTGAGAACCAAGTGAGATTTTAATTTGCTTTGCTTTTGCTGCTTTTTATAATCCCCAGTGCTGTTAATAACACAGGAGTTATATTTCTCTGAAGGCTAAAACTAATAATTTCCTCTTCTAAATTAATAATTCTTGTTCAGGGGCGGGGGGGGTTAAACGTTTTCCTGGATGCTAGTCCAAAATGCAGCAGTGTGTTAGATTGCAGGATTTTAGTTTGTAGTCAGGGGAGAAAAAGGCTTCATTTGAAGCTTGCGGAAGTCAATATTTTCAGTGTGTACAAAACAATCCACAGAGTTAACATAAAACTTGTGAGGGGAAACTTTGGGTTGGATTTTACAACAAAAAGAACTTGTGCTGTTGTCTGAAGWGTGGAAAATAAGCTGAAATTTCATGCAAAATGGAGGCCCTGTTGACATGCAGAGTATGATTGGCAGGGAGGTGGGAGACTTATCCTGGCAGTGGTGTTTTTCACCATTAAATCCATTTAAGGATGGACAGGAGGAAATTTAGGGAGCTGAGCTGCCCCTCCTTGAATTATTGCCTGCAGGTTAAAATAATTCCATTAAAAAGCAGAGTTAAAGCCGTGCCTTGCAGCTGGCTGTGTCTGTGTGGTCTGCTCCCCAGGGGAGCTAYGGCTTGGAGAGGTTGATGAGGCTGCCTGTGCTGGAGGGGTTAAAATCCCCTTGCTGGGGACCTGCACTGAGAGTGGCCTTGGCCATAGGTGGTGGCACCTCAAGGTGCTGATGTGAGCCAGGTGAGGTGCTTTGGGGTGCCTGTTCCCTCCCCTTGCATGCAAGGGGGTSGCAGGGCCGGGTTGTGCCTCCTACAGGGCTCCCAGCCATGCTGAGGAGCAGGTTTGCGGGCTGGGCAGGGCTGGACGTGAGGCTTTGGCTTTCACCCGGGCTAGGGCAGCTCCAGCTCTGGCGCACAGGCGCTCGCATTAGCAGATACTTGTTTTCCTCGGGGATCGGGGAAATCTCCAAACTGGCTTTCACCGAGGCTGGTTTTTCCCTGTCTTGTGACACAGATTCATCCCTTAGATGCACATTAGCAAAAGCAGATGATAAATGAATCCTTCCCTTTTTMCCCCTTTTYYCCCCCAACACTTTCCCATTTTGCACAATGGCACCAAGGCTTCCAGGGCAGTTTGGAGCTGGCTCTGTGCGTCCGAGCTAACGGGAGGCAGCTGTTCTGCAGCCCCCATGGCCTCACCTGCTGAGTGCTGGGCAGCAACCACTAATTGCATTTAGCCAGGAGCTAAATGAGSTGAATGAGGAAGCTGAGAGTGCCTATAGGGCAGGACAGAGTGCCCAGGCAGCTGCCCGCCCTCCCTTGGCTGAGCTGCAGCTTTTGCTGGTTTTGGGGGGGATTGCAGAGAAATCATGCAAAGTGAATGTTTGCTTTGGAGCAGTGCAGATGAGGATGTGACCAAGGGGTTGCTGAGGAAGCTCYGTGTGTGTTTGGATGGATGGAGCCTTCTCTGTGGCCTTTGGGGCTGCACGTGCAGAGCCCATCCTGACCACAGTGCTAACCGCTGCCGTAGTTGGTCTAGTTGGTCCTGCTTTAGGATCACTAATTGGCACTAGTTGGTCCTGCTCTAGGATCAGGGCCATAACCAGGAGTTGTCCTGATGCTGATCCGTGGATTTCACGTATGGGCTGTGTCACAGCAGTGGCTTTTGTCACAGGGAGGTTCCTTAGCTCTGTCCCCTTCCYGCTTTGGAGGAGAACAGCCGCTTCACTGCTGCATTATCTTGGCTCTATTTTCATACTAATTTCTGGTAGGGGAGAAAAAAGACCAAAAAAAAAACCCCCAAACAACAGCCAGCCCCCCCGAGAAGACCTGAGCAGCAGGTGGGCCTGTGCCCAGCTGAGCAAGGGCTGCTCTTGCCAGCCTTTCTTGGCTCCTGCTCCTGTGCTCTGGAGCAGCGTCTGCCCTTATCTCCCCATCTCCGTCCAGGACTCGCTGCAAACGTGCCTGTTCTTCTTTGCCTGCACCTTTTGATTTCTCCCTGCTGTTATTTATGAGTTAAGTCTGTGGCTGCAATAATGCTCTGGCTTACCCAGATGTCCTGTTTCTGCAGGACTCCTGGCTAAAATGAAGCCAGTTTAGTATTTTCCCTTTGAAACGTGCATGGAGAGTCCCACCAGCAATGCAATGGGATTACTAAGGCTTTTACCCACTTTTACCCTTTTTTTTTTTTGTACTTTCGTTTTGAGAGGTGTTGCTGAACCCCTAAGGAAGAGTTTGATTTAGGTGCAGGAATGGGGACAAGCTGCAGGTGAGAGGTGAAACCACAGGGCTTATTCAGCCCATCCTTCCTGTGTTYATGCTGTGACTTGTGTTAAATCTCCTGAGCCGAGATCACTGCTGTGTCGCACAGYATGTCAAGTATATGCATGCATAGGAAGGACACTTTCCACGCAGAGAAGCTGTGCCAACGCTTGAGTCTTTCCCCCTCAGTCTGCTRGGGGCACGTTATTCCCTGTGGGTTTCCCTATGGTCTAATACAGGGCTCTGCTGGTCCCTGGGCTTTGCCTGCCCCCTCAGCAGAGGCTGGATGTGTCTGGCCAGGAGATGACTCAGTCTGGCTGTGACCAAGGGGCATCAGCACTTTGAAAGCGAGGCAGAGAGAGGAATTAGCCCTTCAGCAGATGGTCAGCAGATTATATCTTGGTTCGGTGTCATGGAGCGGAGGGAAACCGCAAGCAGCGAGATGGGARTCGAGAGGGGGACCCATGGTGAGAAAAAGGGGTAGGGGAGGAACAGGCTGTGCTAGCACAACACCCAGGATGAGGTCTTGGCCGCACACGGAGCCCGTGGGAGCTGCTAGACAGCGTCCYGGCTGGGCGGGACACCACGAGAGGAGCCAACGGGAACTGAACTAGCGCGGGGATCCCTCGAGACCTTTTACGATTTCTATGAATCCGTCTTGAAACACGGACAGCTCTTAATCTGCATTCTAGTAAAATTAATGAATTCTTCRCTTTGCTGGGTGGCGTTAAGCCTGGTTTTGGGGGAATGTGGCAAGGCTGAGCCCCTGTGTTACCCAAGGCACCRGGAAGGGAAGGTCTGAAAGCATCCCGGGCTGGATGGCACCGGGATAACCAGTGTCACGGAGGTGCCATGTGCTGACCCAGGACAAGGGGCCCCTGATTGAAGCTTCCCTCAATATGTGGGGGAGGAAAAGAGGGGGTGGCTGCTGTGCAGAGAGGTCCAGGAGGCCCCTCGGAAGCCCCCAGCCCCATGATGGGGCCCGGCAGGAGCTCGGCCCAACGCAGCTGCCAGGAACCCCCACCCTCGCTCCTAATGGCTCGGGGTGCATAAAGCAGTCTCTCATTAACGATAAAACACCCAAACCTCAGCAGAATTGCTAACAGATGGATAAACAAACCAAAATTTTAAACAACATTTAAAAAAGAAAATAATAAAAAGGCCCTTAAAAGGCAAAAGTGAAGCGGAGGCCTTCCCAGCCCTTAGAGAGACAGTCCCCACTCCTCGGCTTTGGCATCTCCGTCGGAACCAGGTGGTGGGAAGATCTGCACGTGCAATTTGTTGTTCTCTTCTCGGCATGGGGCTGAGCTGAGTTTTGGGGCTGGTTTGGCCTGGGAACGTGTGGGTGCTGGTGCTGGGCAGGCARTGGTGCCTGGCAATGGCCCTGCTCAGCAGGCAGCGCCGGGCTACCCAGAGCACCGTGAGAGGGAGGAAGGCTGGGAGCGCCCTGGAAAACACCTGGATGTGGGAACCGTGGGAGCAGCAGCCTCTGTGGTTCCTCTCGTACCTCCAGCACTGGAGCTGGGGTAGATGAAGCTCCAAGCAGACAAAAACAAGAGAGGGAGAAGCAGGAGCATTGTGGAAATGCAGGGAGCGTGGGGACCCCAGGGACTGTGCAGGGAGCTGGGGTTTCTGCATGGGGTTTGGGGGAGGTGACCTGTGTAGCCTGCATGAGGAGCAGGGATGGAAGTTGATGATGCCCTTTTTGGGACTTTGTGTTGGGGTCCATTTTTTGCAGATGCAGTTTGCTGGAGTTCATAGGCAAGGTGGTATTTACCTTGAGGTGAGGCCAGTAYAATATGCTCAGATTCTGCTTGCTTTGAGAGACGTGGGCAGAAATCTTCCCAAGAAACACAAACAGGTCCCCTTTCCACACCTAAAAATCCATTAGAAGGTGCAGAGAGGGAAGGGTTCCCTGTCCCACAGGGCAGGGAAGCTCCGTGCTGCTCCGTGTCGCGGTTCCTGGGCAGCATCGTGGTCCCAACGCGCGCTCTGAAGCCTCTTTCCCGAGCCTGCAGTGATGATTCCTCTCTCTGTCCTTCCCTGGCCTTTATATAAACAGGGCCTCTGTTCTTAAAGAGTGCATCATCGTTTCCTGCGGCTCTAATGGAGGGAGATTTTG